TGATGTTGTGTTGGCCAAATGGTTGCCTAATATTAGACGATCGCCCGTGATTTTTACCTTCATCGTTCACTTCCATGTGTCGGCTATCCCAGAAATAGCGAATAACCTATCACAACAGAATGTCATGTGTAGCCTCTCTAACCGCCACTTCAGCAAAGACAAGAATATGATGAACGGATCAAAAAATAATCCGTCGGTTTTGCTATCGCCTGAAGTTGATGCGAGTGCTGCGTCTAAGTCTTCCTATGTGACATTCCGCGGAAATTTTAGGCGGGATACTGCACAGGCATGGCGAAAAGTTGATATTGGTTTGTAAATTATGCTGTAATCCTAGCCCAGAAACATGGTGGCCTGAAGCTCAGAGTTGCTGGGAGCATGGACCGGAATTGATTTGCGAATCCGAAGATCACCTGAAGCTCTTGTGGTTGGCGTGAATGACAAAATGCAGAATGTGCCACATTGCGGCATCTCTGAAAACGCAAATATCATGTGCCGTTTCTTTTCCAATTTCGCTGTAATTTATTTTTGCTAATGAAGGTGAATGAGATACTTGGGAAACAATTTTTTGTGAACCGCTTGTAAATTGATTAAATTTAATCCTCGGCTGCTACGATGATTAGAAATTTCAGGTTGTAATCCCTCAAAAACAAATTAGGCGTGAGTACACTTTTGGTGAGAGAGAAGGCTGCCTGACACGGGTGACCATTGCCAATTAGACAAATTGTAATCTATTCATGGTAGTAGATAGACCTGATGGGGAAGCTGATATCTATCCATGTACACAACCGCGTTACTCCTTGAACTTTATGGAAGGTGGTATTTTCAACGGTAGGCAAGAATTTGTGACAACAGTCCTATTTTGCATATGAACAAAAAGTCCCACACGTCGCTGCGAACTGTATTTCCTGACTTTTGGCGTCGTGAACCGGTGGCGACGACAAGTGATGAAAAGCGAACGGTCCGCTGTCACACATAGTAAGCTTTTGCCAATGATCCGCTGGCGTTGTTACAGCTAGCCGTGGATCACTGGCACATCCTCGCGTTGTATAGAGTACGAAAGGCGACATATTCTTGTGTAAGCAGTTTGGATTTCTGTGCAATTCGGACAGGCAATCGCCACTTTTTAGCGACTGGTGTCGTGTCCATAGCTTTACACGATTGACACTGGATGACATTGGGCACCCGCCGCTGGTTCGTCTACTTTGAAGCTAAGGTGACGCTCATTGTAAAAACAAGACCGGTTTACTCAATATCATCGAATGTCCGAAGGATTCTTGAACGCATCGCTGCTGGTCCGTGCGCAGCCCACACATACAACTCACCTGTGCTTTGGTGGCTGAACGACAACCACGCGGACCGCGCGGAACACCAAACAAAACGAAACCATTTGGTGACAGTCAGTACACACCGACAGCCGACGGGTAACTATAGGACACAAAACTTACTTCCATTAAACTAACAGGTTACGGGCACCGAGCAAGGAAAGTATCCAGGCAACGTTTCTGCTTTAAACAATATTCTTGCAATATTTAACCGAATTTCCTTGATTGTGCACCCATGTGTTACAGGACGAGTCAGATGGGCTCGATTAAACAATATGTCCTGTTATCTCAAACGTCATCGTGCAAACGACTACTTGCCATTACATTGGGTTAGCGGAACTGCTTCAACGATGACAAAGCAAAGTACGCACAAAATTCGCATTACTACCACTAAACACGCTCGGTACGCCAATCGAATCAGTCAAAAGAGATTAAGCACGCATGCAGAGTGTCACTGTTTTACCCCAAAAAGGCCGTATGATGTTAATCTATGTGGACGAATATTCGTTACGGCTATGAGTATATCGATGCTGAGCCTAGCAAGAGTGTACCTTCTTGTTTTGTTCTGTCTTCTGTTTGGCCAGTAAACAGCCGCATTGAGCTCATGCAGCTTTACCGGCTTGGTTTTATAGACATGTGTTGGTTTTGGTCTCACTAGTCTCCTTAGTCCAATGCGAATATGGCGCATGTACCCTACTCAGAGGGAGCGATTTTTATTTCATCTCAGTGGTTTGATCTGTATGGTTGAAATCAACCGATGAAACGTGTTTAGCAGTAGCCTGATTGATATTCCTGTTCTTGAAATGATTATAACTGCTCTCGAAATGATCGTTTCTGATCTTGGAGTTATGACTCCATGAGTCCTCTACAGGACTCAGTTTGTTGGGTCTCTGATCCAGCGCCGAAAATCAGTCATTTTCGGGTAGTACGAAAAGTTGGGTGAACGTCAATTTTCATCCAGCTGTACCAAGTTTCCAGGCTCCACTGGAACTGGTTTGGAACACTGTCAGACAATCAAACACTTCAGTTGTGTTTACGCAACAACCAATAATCAAGTTGCTCAAGTCTAAAGAGGCAACAAATCGTTTCCCATTTAGTCACTGGCCACGTATGCTCGATTCATAGGAGAGTTTTGCTAAAAGGATTTCACCTATCCATCAAATTCTATGTGTGGATCTTTGGCAGATCTTTTGCAGATCGGCGCTTTTCGATGTAATCTGCGTTTGAGCTTGACTAATAAGGCACTAGTTCAATGGTTTATTTCCCAACGACAGATTACTGCGATTGTTAGGGTCCGCAAACTACACTAGGCAAGTCTGACTAGATACATACAATTCTGCTCGCACAATGGTGCGTTTTAATAGGTACCACATGAGGGAAAACGGGAATGATGAGTAATGAAACTATATAATTTCAGCTTATTTGGGTGCTTTCAGAAACGGAGACTATTTGTAAGAAAATGGCATGTTTTTCTCGTAGAAACTTACCAAGAATATATTCACTTTCAGTGAGAAAGAACCGAATAAATGTATTAGTATAGATGGATAACATGCATGGTATTGGTTATCGGTTTTAATCTCTCAGGTCGAATACATGCTCACCACCATTGCGGAATCATTTTGGGGTAGTTCATAGTCTGTAAGAATGTTTTTCTAGTGTGGCGGTAGGCACTGTTAACTACTCATCGCCTGAGATTTTCTGGCCACACCGTCCTAGCACTTTGAACGTTTGACAACGTTGACACCGGAAGAGGCCTTATTTATTGACCCCTAATTGATTGGAAAATTTGCGTGTCCATAGAGTTAAATCTTGTTTCCATCACCCTTAAGGGGAATGCGATTGTGTCCGTTCTCAATGGAGGACAATGTTATCACAGCTTTACACGAATTCTGTGTAGTGGAATTCAATGAGAATGGTAGTGAAACTGCAACGGTGAACTACGGAACGAGGAAGTATATCAATGACTACCCAGTCGGTACCAAATATTTTCCCATTGATTGAAAAGAAAGTACATGGTTTCGTAAAAAAGTGCTCACCACGGGTGAAAATGTATACACTTGTTATAGGTGGGATGTTTACACCGGCACGCTAACATAACTGATAGAAATGAGGTAAAAACTATAGCATGGTTCGTGTCGGTGTGAATTACCCTCCCAACGGCACGTTCCA